CACTGCAGCTGATGAAAGGAGAGGAAGAGAAAGGGAGATTCCAAACTGAAGCCCATTTAAGCCCTAAGCTATTTTACAGGAGTTTTCCATATGGAAGGCCAGCGTGTTTCACTTGTCCTGCAGGAAAGGACATCCTCAAAAAACAGCCCTAGAATGAGGCAGAGAGCACATTTTAGCCCAGTGCAAACAGTCCCTCAGGGAAGAGAATAGCCTTCAGATAAGCAATCGTAGGTGAATGTGAACATACAGAATTATTTTATGGAATTGATCGTTGTATTTTAAGTATTTTTTTATAAGCTGCTGAGGGCTGGCAGCCATATATAGTCAGGGTCATGCATGATCACCTTTAAAACTATGTCCGTATAAATAGACCAATGTATGATACAAGCTTTACAGGCTTTATAAAAGCTGTTAGTTGCCAAAGTATTTCCAAACTCATCTTTTCSTAGCTCTTTCTCCTTGATTTGGCTTGCAGGGAGATGGCACTAGGCTCTCATTCCCTGCCTGTGGGTTCAAGGTGACCGTCAGGTCTGGGCTTTGGAGCTAATGTCCTGGGTCATAATGAATCTCTGCTCTCCTTTGCTTTGGATCATCATTTATATGGTAGGTTTGGGAGTCTATGAACCCAACATGGGGGCATTTGGTACCAAATGCAGGGCTTCAAGTGGCCGTGRGACAATGTGGAAAAACACTTCAATGACTCAGCCCCCTTGTAGATGTGCTTGGGTTATTGGATTTTCCAGGGACAACCTCTGCCTCTAAGCACAGAGTAAAAAATAGTGCCGGTATGTTGTGCTTCATGCCCTGCAGAGGTGGCCGGGAGGCTGCAGCCTCCATCTCTTTGCAGTCACGATGGCCCGGCCCGAGTCACGCGAAGGGAAGCGCTGCCACCATGAATCCGTGTCACTGAGAGGCAGGGCTGAGAGCTGGCCCGGTGAAAGTCACTCTGCGGTGCCCCGGTCTCCGATGGAGCACACAGGGGTGTCGCGTTGCAAGCCCTGGGGTGCATCTCTTGGCAGCTAATTTCTGTCAGATGTTTGTGTCCCGTACTTCAGAGAACAGAATTGAAATGTTTGCACCTTTCGCAGGTGCAAAACCCCCGGCTTTTGAAAATGCTGAGGGCTCTGTGTAGTGCAGCTGCTTCGTGGGTGATCTGTGTGATGAGCACCACGTGGGCTCATCACGCCAGGGCACRGCACCCTGTGCTCTCCCACAGCGAGGCGTGAGCTCGAGTTTGGCTCTGCGGTGAGGCCGAGGTGGTTTCCTGCAGCAAAGGAACTGAAACATTTGAGCCTCCTGCACAGGAGAACCCAGTGCAGCCCCCACGGGCCTCACTCACGGCGTGGGCGGTTTGTCTTTGCTTCGAGAGCAGCAGAAGGAAACAGTCAGTCCCTGGGGTGGCTGTTCCGTCCCCGCTACACAAGCGGAGCGACCGGCTCGCTCCCCGGCACGGCGGTTTCCCCACAGAAACCGCAGGGTGCAGCTGCTGCTCTTGAGTCCGGGCCTCTTCGTTTTGTGCCCTTCATGTGTTTGACAGTTTCCAAAACGGCCCGGCACGACTGAGCAGGGAGCGACAATTCAGCCTGGRAAGCGCCCCGCGCCCGGGCTGGTTGGATGTGACGCAGGGCGACCCCTTGACATGGGCGCGCGGCCCTTGGTGCCGTGACCCGTTCAGCGCCCACTTCCACGTGCCCTGTGAGGAYGGTGCCAAATTTCCATCGCTGCCCTGTGTCAGCGAGGACGCTGCTGCCTCTGGTGAGCGGGCTCAGTCACTTGCCTGGTGCCAAGACAATGCTGTAAAAACTAGTGCCTCCAAAATACYGTTTTTGTAAGCGTTAGTCCTCCGGTAACTTCTGCAGTTAGTCTGAACCAATGCCCGAGGCTGTGGTGGTTTCTTTCTCTGTTGCTGTGTGGTGGGCTCCATCCCCAAGCAGAGCCTACAAGCCACGGTCAGAGGAGTGCACAGCGTGCAGAGGAGCTCCTCTGCCACGAGGAGCTGTGTGGAGGCCACTGGCAGCATCAGCAAGTGCGTGAGCTGAACCTAGGCAGTTTTCACTCGGGTAAAACTGCTGCAAGTTAGTGCTCCAGGGCCCCGGTACCGGGAGAGCTGCTGCTGACTAAGGCTGGACTAAGGACGGGCTCTGCCTGCAGGCGGACTTGGAAACCAGCTTATCTCCAGCACCGAGGCTTTGTGTTTAATATCCAGATTAATATCCAGCTCTTCCTTCACGTTCGTTTCTTTCGCCCRCAGAGCCACGTGCTCGACGGTGCCGAGTGGCGCCGGCACCTCTGCTTGCCCCGGATTTGCCCTCCAATGCAGTGTYGTACTGCTTGAAATAGGAGGGCTTTTCCTTTTGGGAGACTTCAGAGGTCTCRAACACAATCGGGGTGTTTTTATGTTCACTAGTTCTGCATACTTCATTTGGGGAGCAGGGGACTTTGGGAAAGGGTCTTGGATAGTCTTACTCTGGGCTTAAATTGCTGTGCCAAGTGAAGTTCCCGTGGGTTTTACTGGGCTGCTGTGCTAATTTTGTGGGTTTGTTCGAATATGCTTTGAAAGGGAAGTGGTGAGAGCAATGTGTCTTCCTTGGTAAAAAGGAATTCATCCATTCAAGCCACTGACACAGAGCAACGTTCTCCTTCCTCCCCTACCCCACCACACACACAAATCATTAAAGTTGCAGCATGCTGCAGTGCTTGTTGTAAATTGAATTAGAAGCAATTTGTAGCTGTATTAATACACATCATTCTAATGGTCTTTCATCCTCGRAAGGTCTGGCACAGACATAAAAAAATGATTTTCTCCTGAACGCAGGTAGGGTTGTTGGGGCTGTTTTAAGGCTTTTGCCAGCAATAAACTGCGGATAGGAAGATTTGGAAAGAAAACAAGCAAGAGGAACCAGGGAGGAAGGGAGGCAGGGGCAAAATGAAAGGGCTTCCCGTGTGTCCGCGCCTGTCCCTGYCCTCCTCTTGCCTTTCCTGCTGTGGGAAAAAAGGAGCCCGAGATGGTTCCTGCGACCTCTCCTTTGGATGCATCAGCTGCCTCCCACACAGGCATCTCTGTTAGCCCTTCCCTGTGCTGGGACAAACCAAGGCTGCCAAAGGCCCTCTGGTTCTTACTTTAAGAGATGCACTTGTCTGCGGGCCTCCTAGCCTGTAAATTTTGGTGATCTTTCCTCAAAAGTTGCTCAGCTAGATATATGCCTGTGTGAGAGGCTAATATCCAACCGGGCTGTGTCTTTGAATATTTATTATCCCATTAATACACCATCCAGCAGTTTGTCATTCAAGGGGACCAAAACCCTGCTGATTTCCCCTCTCTCATTCTAATGGGACATAATTATAAAACCCACCAATATCCTTCAGTCAGATGAAGTAGCAAGTCCCATGCAAACCAATTAGCCCATTGCACGAGCAGTTGTACTAATTGCTCATGGGCTCGTTACCAAGAGCCATGGTGTTAATGGAGAAGCGTGTTGTCCRTGGAGGCTCTGCTGCTCTAAGGAGGCCCCTGCATCTGTTTCCCCAGTAGCTGCTCTTTAATGAACCCTCTTGCTTTGTGATGCTATTTTCTCCTGGTTGTTCACACTTCTATTAATAGCCATACCCGGAACCTAACAGAAAACAAAATGCCAAGAATCTTTTATTTACCCCAAAGGGTGATCTTTAAATATTACACGTTAGTGTAAGCGCTTTAGTTGAGTAGTACGTAAASAAAAGATGAGAATGAAACATGCGTTGTTCACATGAGAGAAGATGGTCTTGTTATGTTTGGAATAATCTGTTGTCAAATATTTGAGTAAAAACCTGATTTTAGAGTTATGATTGGGGTTAGATATTTTGAATTTGGACTTTTTTTTTCTACTCATAATTTGGTCTCAGGATGGTGCCTCAGGCTTGTTATTCTCCGTGCTGTTGCTCAAAAATACCGGTGGCATCAGGAACATGATTAGTTTGCAGATGGGTTTCTTTTTCATTACGGGAATTCACAGGCACAGTCTGTGACAATCAAATTAAAAAAAATAGGGAAAAAGTATCTCTTGTGGTTCAGAGCAAAAGAGAGGGTTTTTTGGTGCATTTTCTCTCGTGTCAGCCATTTATAGAACAAAATTTACATATTGTGCTTTGAGCAAGAGCACTATGGGGTAATAATACGCAGCTCATGATTTGGGATGTAAGAGAGCAGATGTTACAAAAATAAATAATAACGAGGGGAAACGTGCATAATAAAAGTAGCGAAATAATGTCAAAGCAAGTAGGAGCGAGATGACGAGTAAGAGCAAGGCGAGCTGTCAGCTCTTTGTATTTAAAGAGGAAAAGGTGAGATGCAAACTTGAAAGCAAGAATGAAGTGCAGTTGTGCTGCCCTGCCCCTCTGCTTCCCCCTCCTGCAGGTCGTGCTGTGTGACTTGATTAAAGTCACCGGGCTTGGGGCATGACGGTAAGTTTTGCCTGCTAAAGGGCACTTGAAAGGGACAGCTGCCAGGTCATCCCAGGGAAAGTCTTTAAAACGCAGAGAAATTTATGAGGGCACCATGTAAATAACGAGCAGTGGCTTTTACTGAGTGATTTTCAAGCTGCTTCATTATATTACTCTTTGTTAACAAGATGGAGGACGTTTCTTGTAATTCTTTTTGTTTTCTTAACGTTTTTGAGAGACCCAACACAATTTTCTCCACCTTGGCAGAATTTATTAGAGCCCAGTAAGAAAATGCCCGAACGCATCCGCTTGCCCAGACGAACCCCGGTTWAACTGCCGTGTCCCCCCCGCCACTATTGAGGCCGGTGCGTCCTCTCTCTTCCAGGTGGCCGCTGCCTGTCGTGGGGCTGGAACGAGCACGGCATGTGCGGCGACGGCTCGGAAGCCAACATCCCCATGCCCAAGGTGGTGGCGGCGCTGGGCGACGTGGAGCCGCTGCTGCTCGGGTGCGGGGCAGGACACTCCCTGGCTCTCCGTGGGACACGGCGTGGCGGCGGCGGCGTCACGGATGGGGACATCGCTGCAACGGGTGGCTCAGCAGGGCTGCCAGAGGATGACCTATAATTGACACGAGAGTCTGAAGATGCACAAGCGGTTTGCTCCACTGTCAAAAGGAACGATGCTCAGAACACTATCACATAAAGACAAACTGAATATCCRTCTCTGTAATTATTTTACAGGTTCTTTGCACAGGAATTGTACTCACAGGTAGAACCACAAACCTTTTGCTTTGCTGCGATACAAATGAGGAAGGAATAAATCCTTGTTCTTYGGAGCTCTTTTGGGAGGAGCGAACTGCCTGCCTCATCGCTCATCATTAGTGTCTAAATCCTGTCCGAGGAAGCAGGGTGAGGAGGTGAACACGCAGGGCTACTTCTGCTCTAGTATTTTGTATCTTAATGTCATGATGAACGTGCAGCACCTGCCAGCTTCTACTGGAGGAGTGAGCTCCCAGCACCTGAGAATGCCCTTTGCATCACAGGGAAGCGTGAGTGGACATAAATATAGGCACACACATAGTTTAAACAGAAGATCAGGATTGAAAAGAGCCAAGGAGATATAATTTAGAAGGCTGACAAAAGGAGAAAGGGAGGCCCTTCTAAAACTAATTATATCCTGATTAAACTTTGAAAGGAGCAGCAATTATAAAGAATTAGTTCCTGTACCAGACATCAGTTTACTATAAATTTTCAGGGATGCAGCTATGCCACAATTATTAACTTGCAAGCCAGGCCTCAAGTTCTTGAAGCTGCTGCTTTGGGAAGAGAAACATGCAAGAGCTTTATGGAAACACTGGGAAACTGGCCGAGGGGCGTAAGTAGCTGCTGAGGACAGTTGGGTGCCCCAGGGCTCCAGTGGCTCTAGCTGCCTTTGGAAAGGAAGAGCAGCCAGGCTCAAAGCGAGGCTTCCCCCAGCTCTGCAGCCTGAGATGCAGCTCTCGGTGGCCCTGCTAGTTTGAGGCTCATTCTCGCAGCTGTTTCTCGGCCCGGCCGAGCGTTCCCRCAGGGCTTGCTCCAGGTGAGTGCTTGCCAGAGGGAGCCAAAGGGAATGGGAGAGCCTAGGTTACCTCCAAATATTAGTAAGCACTTAGACCGAACAGGATTTGGTAAGCTAGTTCTGGAACTGCTTTTCACACAAATACAGTGGATGCCCTTAAACTGGATGTTTACCACCCACAATAGTTGAGTTTGCTGTGGTATTTGATGTATGCAGAGCTCTAAATATAGAGAATACTACTGTGTGCTAAATGCACCTTTTACCGAGAGCCATGCTTGCTAAGCAGTGGTTTAATTTTTAAAGCAAGCTTGCCACGGAAGGAGCCTCGCAAAATGCCAGCAGAAGAACTCTAGAAAATAGGACAGGGAAACTTGCTAATGATGTATCAGTGCAGTCATGAAGAGGAGGATTTATGGTAGTAATATGCTCTGTGAGGTTATTTTTTTCCCCACTTGTTTTACAGTAGTCAGCCCATGGCCTTATTTGCAGCGTTTGCTGTTGAATGGAGAAGACGCTCAAGCTGACTATAACTGCATTAAAGACACTGCAAGAAACATGAAAATAATAACAAAATGGGTCCTCCGCAAAATGTGTGGAATTAAACCTTTTATTGGGACTTTTTATAATCCCTGTGTTGGTTGTGGTTGATCCTAGTAATGTGTTGTCCCAGGCTGCTGCCTCTTGCACTGTTCTTGCCTGGTGAGGCTGCTGTTTGCTGCCTCTCCTCACTGCTGCCCGGAGCATCTGTGATACCTGCCCTGAGCTGTTGTGCAGACTTTTCTGGCCCTTGCCTTTKAAGATCTTACCTTCCTTCCCCTCCAGAATCCATGTACTGAATAAACACGTTCTCCTGTTTCTGCAATCCTGGCCTCTAAATAATTTTCTTCCTTGTTTTGACAGCTAGTACATGTCCCCTCGAACCGAAGGGCTTCTGTTCTGAGCGCGTTTTGGTGGCGCGTCCTCGTCCTGCAGTGCAGTTCAGAGGAACTCAGCAGATTATGTAACAAATGGATGTGACTTGGTTGTATGAAATGTTCACTTTTTCAGATGAATAAAATGAAAGTGCTTTTGTGAAGAATTATTTGGGGTGGCGAGGAAGTAAAGGAGTCCTTTAATTTTATTTCCTGATCCTTTGATCAGGAAAGATCAAACAGATCTGCAGCTATTCCTTGTCTCTGCAAGGGGCAGGACTGCAGTTTCTCTTCTCTTTTGCCTGCCTGTGGAGCCTGCACAGCCTGGGGAGTTGTGTTTCTGTCCTGAGAGCTTTGCAGCTGGACAGGCCCCATAGATGCTGCTCTAGTACAAAGAGTGAATAATAGTGGCTAGCACATGGGTGAATGTCAAAACCAGATCGTTGCTCGTTCATTCAATAATTAATACCCTGTTTTATATGTCAGTATGCTTTCTATGCTTCCTTTGCAGAATCAAAGCTTGTACAAAGTCAGCTAAGGCTTTCTACTGAGACTTCACCTGTAAAGAGGGGAGCAGACAGTGTAAAGCTGCCAGGCAAGTGAGTAGACCCCCTTCCTTGCTGACATTCCCAGGGCTTATGGCCTGTTTCTTGGTGTCCTGTTGGAAAAGGTCAGTCTCTGTGAGGCAAAATGCAGAGCTGGTGCTCAGTGCTAATGCCTCTGGAGCAGCAGAGCAAGCAAGGACAGAGCTGTTTATGCAGATATTCAGCACGAAACAGAGCAAGCCGTTTAGCTAAGTACCTGCATCCACATTCAGTGCAAATAAACAGACAAGGTTGGTAAAATATATAAACACTGATACAAGGTAAGCAAGTGTCAACACAGTCTTCCCCCTCACCTCCCCTCACCCTGTTAACGAAAACAAGTGAACCTGCCAAGATGGGGACATGCACGAGGGGAAAAAGATGAACTTGAATATAACAGCTTCTCTGGAAAGCTGCTGTGGGTCTCTGACCAGCTGAGAGCCTTCAGGCTCTTGAGCAGCCTCTCTTTCAGGCTCTTGRGGCTCCTGATTGCTTTAATACTTTTGTGCTTGGAATGCTGGAGTATCAAAAGGAGATAGTATCTCCATTTGAAAGAGAGGCTCCTACCTACCTTTCTTCCCTTTTTACCCCCTCACTTTGCCTTTTCTGCCCCTGGCTTCCCTCCCTTATTGAAGCAGCTTCAGCCCTGTTGGTATCTCTAGTTCTTGCCCTCTGCAGCTGCCATGAAGGTCGTTTCTTGCTGGAGTGACAAGGTTTTGTCTGACTACACGGCTGAGCACCAGGAAACTGTGAGGTGGGAGGAGGAATGTGTGTGAGGTGTGGGGGTGTGTGTATGTGTGTGTATATATATATATATATAATATATATTTATATCTTTTTTTTTTTTTTAACTTGAGTTAAAATAATAAGTTTTTAACTTTTTTTTTTAACTTGAGTTGTGTTTTGGGAGTCGGGAAACTTAAAGATGAGGATGGAAAGCAGACAAAGGACAGCAATCAGAAGGCACAGAAGAAAGAATACCGTGGAGAAACACTTAAAGGAGGCACAGCAGGAAGCCTGAAATAGTCAGTGAGGTAAAACACAGGGAAAAAGCAGAGCAGAGGGAGTAGACTGGAAATCCAGGTGACTGAGACTGGGTAACCACACAGGGACAGCTGCATTCCAGCCCTTCCAGTACTATGGAATTGCATGCGGGGCAAGTTACCCTCTTTCAAGGGTGGTGTTGCTGGAGTTCATCCCTCCCTGCATCTACCTGACATTTCAAGTTAATCATGCGGGTAATTAACCCACACAGGCTTTCCTTTCTTACTAGTAGAACATCTTAGAATTTCTAGTTCTTTTCAATAGGGGCAACAGTGTTTCTGTGTTCACCTTCCCATTTTGAAAACATKTAGCTCAGACCTGTGACCTAAGCCAATCACATCTTTATGATTCTTGCCATTAAATTCCAGGCTCTCTGGATGAGGCTTTTACTTGTCTTAAGTAAGAACTAAGTCTTTTAGGGATTTTCACCTCTTTCACCTCCCTGTATTGGAAATCCTGCTGATGGCAGGTCTTTGTTACTAGAATTGCAGAGTTATGTCATTCTTATCACAATGTCTCTGTTCTATTAGAGATTTTGATATTTTTAAAGCATGTGGTAAGCCTTGCACTTTTTATTTCAGCCGTTTTCCTTTTTTTTTTAAGGCTCCAGATTTTTATCACAGGCATTTGGGTAGCATTTGTCATGTTTACTACCAATTTATAGCTCAGAGCAACTGAAATTTCTGAGGAGGGAAGAGAAATACTTAAGAAAACAAAAGACTTGCTTTCAAAGACTGGAAATAGATTGCAGTGTGTGGCAGATAATCATCTTGTGGGGTTTTGCACTTAAAAATAGGCACAATACAAAACTGGGGCTTATACTAGTGTTGCTGAATACCTTAGTGGACCCAAAGGGAATTGGAGATTTGAGCCTTTGAACCAAGCTCTTGGTTTATTTTATTTAAAAAATAAGTAGGAGTGTGTTCTTTGCTTCTTTTTAACTTACGTGCTATTTTAAAATCCTTGCTAAATGCTGATCTTAGAGGCTTTGCCTCACGACAGAAAGGACCAAAGGAACGTGGAAAGGGAAAACGGAGCTGGGAATGTGTGGAGACGGTCTCTGCGCGTCCGAGCAGCGCTGGTGGGAAACCAMGTGCCGCGCTGCGGGACAGCGGGAAGCAGAAATTCACGGAGTACCAGGGGAACCCATTTTTCAGCTTAATTAGAAATAAGAGCTATCGCAAAGTAATTATTCCTGAATCAAAGCTGGTGTTGGAGGTGAGTCAATTCGAAGGTGATACTTATTTTGCAAAATCTCCAAGGGCATTTTTGTTTTCTGTTGGAAGTAGGGCACGTTTAGCTTCCTTCTCAGATGAACGTCTGCAGTAAGAGGTTCAACACAAGTCTAAGTCCAGTCCCTCTTTTCCTCTTGTAACCAGCCCTACCCTCCTCCATCCCCCACTTCTTTTTTTTTTTTCCTTATCTGATTTGAATGCACAAATTTCTGGTACCTATAGCTGAGGGGTTGCCAAGCAGCAACCAACACGTGGTGCCAGTTAAGGGTGCGGGTGCTTGTTCAACCTGCCTAGTAATCCWGTGCTTCAACGTCCCAAGCGGAAGGGGTTCCTCTAGGGGCACTGGCCTCTCCTGCAGACAGTGTCTGTGTCTCTCCTGGGCAGTGAGTTTGCACTCCCTGTTCCTGTGTAAATGCTGCATTTCAGCATTCGGCCTCGGAACACTTGAAAAAGAGAATGACAACAACCGATGCTGAGGCACGAAAACGGGATGGTCCCAAGCAAGGTGTAAGCCAGCCTGTCTGGAGCAGTCAAGGATCTGATCCCAGCTCTCCTGGGTCCTGCACAAGGCCCAGCYTTTCAGGATGGTGGCCCTGGATGGTTCCTACAGCCAGGCCTCACTACTTCCCCTGGCCTTGCTCTCCTTCCCCGCCACCAAGGGCTCTTCCCTCACGCTGTCATTTGCAGGAGCCCCTTGCCAGAGCTCTCCCACCTCCTCCTGCCCATCTCCCRCTCCTTGTGCTGCTGCCAGCCCTTCTGCAGCCCCCCAGAGCTCCCGCCGCGTGTCCGAGCCCTCCGCGCCGGCCCCAGCTCTCGGGGTCCCTCAGTGGGAGGCCTGTGCAAGACTTGGTGTGTTGCTAGAGGAGGAAACGCTGAGCTGGGCTCTGTGTGCAACAGAGATGCTGGTGAGAACGCTGGAGCACCGTCCCCTTCGTGTCTGGAGGTGGTTGGTCCTGGGTAGCTACAGGTTTTGAAATGCTCAGGTGAGTGCCGAGCGTTGAGAACCCCACCTTGGCAGCCTGAACTCAGGAGCAATCTTCCCATGTGGGTTGGTAAATGTATTTGGCTTTCACATACTGGCTTTACGAAATAGGAAATTTGAGACATGCAGTGTTCCGGTGTATTTTCTAACTTGACATTCATTTTGCGTTCAGATTTCGCACTCGATCACGAGCAAGCATTTTGTGATCCCAGGAGAGAGAGATGTTGCTACTACAGTCCTAGATGAATGCAGGGGCTTTGGGACTTCYGAACAGACAGGTACTTTACACATGAAGACAAATAAATGAGTGGCTTAAAAATAACCTACCTAAATTATGCATATTTTCATGTAGTAAAGTTGGTTTGTGTTTGAGTGCAGAGAAAAAGTTGCTTCCAGGATATATATGGAAAGCAGAGCAGTAGGTTGCCCTGTTTAGAAACGGTGAAGAAGAGGCACCAGGTGACAGGGCAATAACTGCTCTTGTTTCTGCTGCAGGTTTTCCTTTGTAAGTGTCTCTGGGCTCAGTTCCTGTTTAAAGGCCTTGCCTTAGCTCGGCTTGTTCTTTTCCGTATTTCAGCCTGCTCATTTTTCCCAGCAGCAATTTGTTTCAGTGATATATTTTCGTTTCGACCCTGAAACTTTAAGGAGAGAGAAGGCAATTTATGTGAAAAATCRCTCTGCCCAGATTAATGACTGCTGCACTTGAGCGTTATCAGAGCGGTATTAGTTAGATTCCTTGCTGGAGGCAGAGAACAGAAACCACTTTTGAGGTCTTCACTGTTGGAAATAACCCTTTTGGAGATGGTTTCACGTGTGGTGTTGGTCCAGAGGAAAGGGAAAAAAAAAGKTTTTTTTTTTTGTGTTAGTAAGTTAAACTACTCTAATTGCCAGTGGATTTCAGGTGCAGGTAAAATAACTGGGAATCCGTCGCTGAAAGCTGAGTTTCCAAAGGCATTGTTGATTTCTGAATGTGTTTCTGCTCTTGTTTATGGTGATGTGAGGTCAGAAGTAGTTGGTGACACTGCTGGAAGCAGGTGCTCAGGATCTAACCACGTGTGCTAACTTCCAACTTTCAACCAACATAGACCTCCTGTGTTGGGATTGGGAAGGCTTGGAGGAATCAGTGTTTTATTCACATCCTTCAACACATCCTTCTTGGATATAAAAGAGCCATGAGGACACAGTAATGTTCTTCTGGGGTTGAGCACCAGGTTTCAGTGCCACTTGGGTCCCTGTGAAACATTGCAGGTGTCTCCCTCTTTTCCTGAGTCGTCAGTGCTGCTTCTACACTGCTTGTTGTGCAGAAGAGAGTCACTGAGGGACCTTAAAGCCCAGAGCATCTCCTGGGTGGGAAGCACGGTTCTGCTTTGGGAAGTTTTGTAGAAGTCTCTCAAAGACTTGGTGACCTCAAATCAAAATAGAAGTCCCCGAAGCAGCAGTGGAGCTGGTAGATGTGACAGGGGGACAAGCAGTGAAGGTCCATGTACGTGCAGGGCGCTACGGGAGGGAAAGACCCATGTGGGGCTTACGGGGCTGAGTTATTGGTGTTCCTTACTTTATGGTCTTAAGGATTGTGAGCAGTCTTCACATCAGGCCCTTGAGCAGTAGTATCGAATAGAAATTTTGGTTAAAAAAAATCTGTTCTGGATTCCTAAGACATGGTAGRAGGCTGAGTTGTTCGTTATGCAGTTTTGGAGCCTGGTTAGTTTGCAATCTGTAGGTAAGAACATTTATTGGCCAAGACTAATAGCAGAGAAACAGGGAGGAAAATGTGTCTCGGGAGAAAGTCAGTGGAACTAGAAATCAAGCACATACTGCTGGATCCAGGACTGTAAAGGAACTTCTTTATTTTTTTTACGACGTTCACAATCACATCAGCTTTTCTCTTGCTTGTAGAACGTAGCTTGAGGTCTTTATTTCTGGTTTCTCTTTTGGAGTGGAGTTGCAAAGACAAGGTCCAACCGCAGTCCTTTTCTGCTTACAGCTTAGCACTTACCAGAGCCATGAGTCGCTTCCATTTTTTTTGTTTTAATTTCTGCCTCCTCCAGACCTTGGAGCTCTGCTATTCCTTTCCCCTTCTGTTCCCCTCAGCAGTCGCAGATGCTGCAGCTTTTGCCTGGAAGGTGGCCAGCTCATTAAACAGTCTCACACGAGGCTCGAGCAGCATCTTGCTTTGCAGAAGCGCCTCAGCAAGAAGGCTCAGGCAACCAGAATGCTCTTGACACACGGTGTGCAATTGTCCTTCTAGGATCTCAAATGACATTCAGGGCCATTTTGCTTCTCCCTTCCTACCCCTGCATGGTGTGGGGCAAATCAAACGCCACTCAGGCACCTGGATTTCTTTCAGATCAGGTTTCGGAGCAGGTGTGTGCTGCTGCAGCCCAGGGAGGAACACGTAAAGGACGGGCCACAAAGAAGGAAGAAAAACTGAATTCGTTTCATCAGCTAAAAAGACAAACTTTTATTATTGGTAGGGAGGGAAAGGGAAGATACCTAAATAATTATAGCTTTTCTTTTTTTTAACTCTTCCCTTAGAAAATTACTAATGGTGTGAATTCTTCAGACATTGGTTGTATCAAGTGTTTGCAGGCTTCATTTATTATCTACTAACCAAAAATTAGCATTGTTAAAACCACAGCAATACCAAGCTTTTCTCCTACATTTCTGTTGAGAACACTGTATTTATTCAAGATTTTAGAAGCGAGTCTCTGGAAACCCCTGGTTGCTTCAGGAAAGGATTCCCCTTTACACTATACAGCAGGCACTGAAACCATGATACAAAATTTATTTCATGCTAGAATTGTTTTGCATAACATTGTGCATGCATTTTACTCAGAAGTACTAAATTGCATACAATGCTGTTGTCTTGTTTCTTAAACTTTGAGACATTTTTATACTTGAATATTTTCCTGATTTTTGTACTATAAGTCCCAGTTTTAAAATAACACTTTCTTTTTTTTAGTTTAAAATTCATACTGATTACTTAATATGAACAATTTATGAAGGGTCTTTATGTTGGATCTATACATCAATAAAATACAACATAACCAGAGCTGGAAAATGAAATCTAGCCCAGCTGTTACTGTCAGGTCCGAAGGAAGGTCCCATGTGTCACAAGCATGCCAACAAAAACAGACAGGAGAGAGTTTCTTATTTTTATACACTTCTAGTCGGATTAAAAGTTCTTGATTTCCATGTCGCTGCGATGAACAGTGAAGGCGGGGTCAATATGACCGATGGCTGCCTGATTGCACTTCTTTAAAACCATTACTCTGTATCTTGTATACAAAAAGAAGCGATCCATAGCAAAGAAATGTACAGTTTTATCATGTTTTACAGTTTGGCTACAACAACGTATGTAAAAGTAAAGAGCTTTGAAAGAAAATATATAACTTTGCTTTTTTTTTTTTTTTT